TGAGTGATGAGCACACACAGAGCATTAGGGAAATCTTCTCCCTAATGCAGCACCTGGATTTTCTATTCAGCAGCTGAAGATTTCCTCCAGTGCTGTTAAAACTTGGAAAACCCCCTTTCAATGGAGCCTTCCAAGCTGTTGCTTCTGGAAATGTTTCTGTGTATCAACTTCTTCCCGTGGGGTGGGGTTTCCCTCCACACCTGGGCCAACACAAGTCCCTACAACTCATGAAAACCCTTCTAAAGCCTGGGCTCAGGTGGGGCTTGGGGCAAGCCCATGTTTTGGGCTGGTTCTTTGTAGTAGGATGAGTTTCAGCCAAGAGCATCTGCAGAAAACTGACACCCTGAAGGCAAGGCCGGGAAGGAAGAGAAACCTCTTCAAAATGGGAAGATTATCTGCCACACTTCTTTTTCCACGCTGGATCTTCCCAAATCCAGCTCTCCCAAACCCATGAGGAAGGAGGGACTTCTTCCAGCCTTGCCATGTTGCTAAGTCTGTTACTAGGCAAAACATGTTTTAGGAGAAGATTTTACTGTTTGTAAACTGGATCTGAGCTGCGTTTCTTTGACAATAACGAAACCCTTAATGCTCCTAAATTCTCACAGCCACAGGGAAAGCAAATCCAAATCAGACTGGGGCCAGGGGAGTGGACACAGAGTTAAACTCAGATAGTCTTTTGTGGGAGGGAAGAAGGAGGAAATGTGCAGCACACAGGGAAGTGATGAAGCTGATTCACTGTAAATTGTCCAATATTCCTGTCTATCCCATTTTTATTGGGGGGGGGGATGTTTGCAGTTATGTTCAGATCCACCCAGAGACACGGCATTACACATTAAACCAATATTATCCACCTGTCTGTAGGAGATGGTTCCCCTTTTCCAGGCTGAGATGACGGGAAGAAGCATCCATTTATTTTTGGGAAGCTTTGGCACCTGTGTTTTCCTTTACTCTTATCACAGAGAGCACAGTGCCTGGAAAAGCACAATACCTCTAATTGAAGTGTTCTGGTTATGGACATTGATTTACCCAGCTTGAGTAATGACAGGGGCCAGGGAATTATCTTCATTTTCTTAGGCCTGGATCTCTTCTGAAACAACATGTCGGGGCTGTGGCTTGAATTCAGAGTTGTATGAAACTGCAGGCAGTAACATTTTAAAATGTTATATATTTATATATTCCTGCACATATGTGCACCCAGAATTCAAAAAAAGAAAGCAGGATTTTTAAAAAAATTTTTTTTTTTTTTGTCTCATGCTAGAATTTTAACTTTCTGATTTTGGAGGATGTTTTGGAGGAGTTCAAAGTCTGTCATGAAACTTTTAAAACTGTGGATCGCTGAACGTGCAGACTCTGGAGGTACATTGATTTCTGCACCGTGCAGGCCAGACAAGTTTCAATAATTTAAATTTGGTCAAAGGTCTTCTTCCATCCTGAAAGAAACTGCAGTCCATCACTAAATTTTCCTATTTTTAGCATTTTACAGACACAGGTTATAGATTTTTTTTTTTTAATTGCTTGTACCTACATAATAGTTTTTAAGTGGCCAGGATCTGGGTAAAACGCTTGTCTTGGTGCCCAAATTGCAAAGTGGGAATTGTAACATCACCTTTGCCTTCCTTCCTTGTTTGAATCAGAAGCTCCTCGGGGTAGAGAAAGCCTCCTCCTGTGTGACCAGACAGTAGGTAATTAGCAGTGGGCTAATTGCAAAAGCAAGAACTAATGAGGGTGTGCTGGCAGAGCCAGACAAAACAGAACTGCAGCTGAGGGGAGCATTTCAAAGGGGTGACACCCTGCAGTGGTTTGAGCAGCTGCCACGCACAGGTAAAGGCATCCCAGGGTGGTTTGGGCATCTCTGTGTGATCTGGAGTGGCTCAGATGAATGGGAGCTGTTGCTGGGAAGAGGGAAGGCAGGCAGACCTGTGCCAGCAAGGATTTAGAGGTGAATGGGTATTGTCCTCTGGTGGACCCTTTATCCCCACAACCCTCATTCAGGAGGGGAACAAAAAGGGGCTTATTTAATAACACCTTGATCTGAACACCAGATCCTGACAGCCTCTCTTGGTTCCAGCCTGGCTCACACATTTTCTGCCCTTAACTGAGCCAGTCTGTGCTAAATTAGTCTGGACTAACCATCCTAGTAACCATATTTAGCCTTTCACCTTTGATTATTTCATCATACACTGGGTGGAAGTGGCTTGCCCGAAGGAACACAGAACCAGGGAAATAAAAGGAACATGAGACTCCTCAGCTCCTGTCAGCAGTGCAAGCCCAGGATCATCCTGGCCATCTGAGCTTTGAAAATGGAGGCATGGAGAAATATTATCAAATAATGAAACAGTATCAGTTGGAAGAGGCAAAAGCTGGGGGGGTGAGACACATGGAAGTTGCTGGAGCTGAATTAGAAGCTGAAAGTGCTCCCCAGGATCTCAGTAACGGCTCAAAGTACCCAAAAACTGTGATCTCCAGCTAACTCCTGTGTCTCTGATCATGTCTCCAGGGGTCCCCTCTGCCCCCTGCCCCAATCATTCCCCCCCAGCTCTACCAAAAAGCCAGGAGGCCGCTGATGCCAACAGAGATGGCATTTTGTGACATGCCTGACAGACTTGTCTGACAACTTGGAGCTTTGTTTTGCACAAGCCACCCAAACAGATGGTCACCACTTTTAAGTACCAGCCTGGCTTGTGTTTGTAGGCAGGATCTACAAGCACAGAACTGAAATTTCACTGAATTCCCTGTTTCCTGCTCTAACTGTGGCTTTGGGGTAGAAAACAGAGGTGGGAGAGGTTGGGGGGGGGGAACTCAAAAGGTCTTTAAGGGTACTTCTCAATGCCATATTTGAGAGTGAGGTGCTGGTTTTACCTCCTTGCCATCTCTGTCATTCACATGTAATATTCTGTGAGTTAAAAAGCATTTTCTGGGAAGCAATGACCTTTAGGGAATGTCCTGTGGCCACACAGTCCTGCCCCTCAGGCTTCCAAACCTGTGCTGTTCCTTGGTGGCACTGCTGAGATGTCTGATTTCCATTTTGCTTCCTGTCTGAATTTTAATGATGAATTATTTGTAGCATTTCCAGCAGGCTGGAACAGGGGCACTAATTGCTACTTCAGATGGGGAAAGTGGTCCCTCTCCCAGCAGAGAGCTGAGCTGTCAAGCAGGGTTATGTCACATTATCCCGAATTTAGGATCATGACAGCCTCACCCATCTGGCTGGTTAGATTTGCAATGAATAGTTTTTGCAGTTAGGAATATTTTACCCCTTTCTCTGGCTTGCTCCCTGTGTTTAACCTTCTCTGGCTTGTCTGACGAGGCTCTGGGTGCATTTTTATCAAATGTCAGTGGTTTTCTTGGGCAAGAACATGACCCATAGACACAGTTCCTCAGTGAGGTAAGAGCAGGGCTGCCTGTCAGCCTTGATGGCACTGTTGTGCAGGTAATAACCAGTTTCATTCATAGTATCAAGCTGCTTTTTTTTTTTTTTTCCTCTAGCTACTCTGAAAGATGCACATCTGTTTTTCCAACCGAGCAGAGCATGAAGTCACCAGCCTCCTCTGATCTGCATTTGCATTCCCTGTATAGAAATGCTGTGTGCTGATCTCAACAGACAGCTATAGATCACTGACAGCCCTGAGGAATGCAAGGAGGACTGTGGAAAACACAAGATTTCCTGCATGTGCTGGTGGATCCACGAACCCACAGATGACATATGTCCTTAAACTGCATCTGTCTGCCTCTATATTTGTAAAAAAACCTGCCCAAAGACAGGCTGCCAAACCACTGAGTTCTGACTGGTACAAACGGGACAACTTAAGGAGATCGAGGAACCATCCCGATCCCCCCCCCGGTTTCATTTGCATCCTAAAGCGCCGGGTCCCACTTCAGGAGTCGCTCTGTTTCATCATTAAGTTACCATTACGTGGCTGCCTAATTAATTAAAAGCACAGGCACACGCAGGGAGATGACACCAGGGCAGAAACCACTTCGGGCTTCGCACGGAAATCTTCTTGCATTGCTCCGTCCCTTTTTGGGTGACTTGTACAGGGATTAAAGAAAATCTCCAGGCTACATGACCGAGCTCAAGCACTCGCCCCAGGGACTCGTTATTTTCATGGCGCGGGAGCGACGGGCTCTTATTTCAGTTTAGGGGTGCAAAAGCTGCCTCCGTGGCCATCCCCAACTTCCCGGGGTGCTGGGACAGAACCTTGGACGGCACCTGCCTCTCCCTCCCCGGCACCTCGGAGCATCCAGAGCATCATCCCTCGGGTCCTACGGCATCCCCGGGCCGCTCCGGGAGCGCATCCCCCTGCTGCGGGATAGCTTCCCTGCACTCCCGGGAGAGTATTCCCTGCTGCCCTGGCCTCTCCCAGAAGGCATCCCAAGGCTGCTCCGAGAGCGTATTCCCTCTCTGCCCAGCACAGCATCCCCTCTCTGCCTCGGCCGGCCCGGCAGCGCATCCCGCCGGCTCCGGGAGCGCATCCCTCCGCTGGCGGGAGAGCATTCCCGCTGCCCTGACCGTTCCGAGAAGGCATCTCCGGGTCGCTCCGGGAGCCTATCCCCTTCGCAGCCGACTGAGCATCCCTGCGCTGCCGGGAGAGCATCACTGTTGCCGGGAGAGCATCCCCAGCGCTCGGGAGAGCATCCCGCGCTGCCGGGAGAGCATCCCCAGCGCTCAGGAGAGCATTCCCAGCGCTCGGGAGAGCATCCCTCGCTGCCCCGGCCGCTCGCGGACCGCATCTCCCCGCTCCGGCAGTGCATCCCCCCTCTCCGGGAGCGCATCCCCCCTCTCCGGGAGCGCATCCCCCGTGCTCCGGCAGAGCATCCCCCCTCTCCGGGAGCGCATCCCGCCGCTCCGGGACCTCATCCCCGCCTCCCGGCTGGATCCCCGGATCCCTGGCGCTCCCTCCCGCCGGTCCCGAGCAGCTCCCCCCGCTTCTCTCCGCCGTCAAGCGAACAGGCTGGGGGAGGAAATTTGAGGGAGGGAAGGGGCCGCTCAGCCGACTTACGCCCGTGCTTTCGGGAAGCCCATGGAGAGCAGGATCTCGAGCGAGGAGCCGTGTTTGATGGTCCCGGCGCGGTGCTGGCGGTTCCGCCGGGGGATGACTTTGCTGTAGAGCTCGTCTCTGGCAGCCATGGCGAGCGGGGCGGGCTGGGCCATCAGCGCGCAGCCATCGCGGGCCGCGCAGGGCCATCCATGCACACGCCGCGGGAGCGCTGCCTGCCCCGGCCCCGCGCGGCGCGACCCGCCCACCCCGCGCAGCCCCCGCGGAGCCTCCGCGGCGCTGCCACCGCCTCCGGGTGGGGGAGAGGGAGGGAGGGAGGGGAGGGGAGGGGAGGAAGAGAGGGTGGGGGTGGCCACGGGGACGTGGGAGGGGAGGATGGGGGGGAGCCCACCAGGGATCCGGGGGTGAGACACGAGGGGAGGGGAGGGGGGGACAATGCAGGAGAAATGAAGGTTCCTTTAAAAAAACCCCAAAAAGGAAAGAAAACAAAAAACCCCACCCACAAAAGCACGTGCACGCACGATTATTTCAATTTCTTTCTTTCTTT